GGGGGTCCACCCCTGCTGATCCCTTCCCTCCACGTTCCCTCAGCTCTGCAGAGCCCAGCCAGGCAGCTGCAGGATCCTCCACCCTGGGGTGTGCTGAGAGGGGCCCCAACCAGGGACCACTGCACCCTGCCCAAGCCTGTCGCAAAGCCAGGGTGCTCGATGATATTTTGGGGTTCCCAGCCAGCACTGCCAGCTCAGCCCAACTCCAGTACTGGGGATACCCAGGCCTGTCCCAGCCCAGGAGAAGCTCACAGCTGGGCTTTTCTCCAGCTGCTAGTACAAGAGCGGGGTGCAGGGCCCGGGCACGGCCATCTAGGGGAGCGGTGCAGGGAAGGTGCTCAGAAGCAGCCCCAAACATGCTCCGCAGGGGCTGTCTGGGATTGTCCCTCTCCTCCATGAGCTCCAGTGCACATGGGGTCCTGGACAGGCATCCTGCATCCCCTCCCGGTCACTGTCCATCCTTCTTCTGCCGAGCACCATCCTGCTGCAGTGCCTGTAGCCTCCCTGCAGTCACACCAGCACTTCTCCCTCAGGGGACACCCAGAGACAAGATGTCAGACAGCCCTCTCCTTCTGGTGAGCTGGAGCAAAACCAACGAGGGGGCTTAAAGGCGACAGGCAGATGCCGTGGCTGCGCATGCTGTCCTCAGAGCAGGCAGACCTCTGTAAATGCGAGGACCTAAAGCCCCCTGCTCTCCTGCCTGCAGCAGGCAGCAGTGCTGGAGGAGGATCTTGCACTGCCCCTCCGTGGCCACCACAGGAGGTGCAGGTGGCCCCAAAACCCAGTCAGGTGCCTCGGGGCTGGGGTGCCAGATCCTCGCTCCAGCAGAGCCCAGGAAATGGTCAGAGGGATGTGCACTGACTGTCCCCAAAACAGGCGCTCACCCCATGCCAGGCCATTTCAGGACTGGCACAGACCCCTCTGAGCAGCTCGGTGACCCCAGTCCTGCCCCACTTTCCCCAGACACCCACTCCTGCACCCAGCCCCCAACCCACAGAGCCCATG